GAAATGATTCAAACAAAATCCCGCATAAAAATGTTTTATTATATCTATGAACTATAAAAGCGAGTCAAAACATGCTGTGTGAATAGTGTAAAAGTCAAACGATGTCAACTAAAAAAACGGAAGAAGTATGAATCAAGCGACTGGTTAATATCGATTGTAATTTTCCATACATTAGACTGTTGCTAATTCGTGAAACACTATACTTGTATAATATATCCTCAATGGCGACAAACATTATTTTGATTGATGATACATTGATACGTACAGAGTAGTATATTCTTAAACTTAATTGATTGAAATATTCTTAAATGTTTTCATATAAGTATATAACGTACAATTTAACCCGGGTACCCGGCCCCTTGCTAATTCATGAGTCACATGCTTTTTAATGGACCGCCAATTATGATTTTTGTATTTTTTGTTAACCGTCAAACGTATGCCGTAAAAAAAAAAAATGAAAAATAATACTGAAACATCAATTATTCAGTGCTAGCTAAATTGGGGGACTACAACCAATCCAAGAAAAATATATATAGGGCTAGCTATAATATGCAAATAACTACGGTATGTTATACTTGTATGTTTAATTTCATATGATCTTCTTTATTAAAAACTCAATCTATGATCAATTTTGTTTTGGGTAATTTTTACCCAGGCCACGTGGACCAACGAGCAGGCGACACGTGTTAGCCCAAGATTAGTCCAAACTGGACCTATCCCCTTTTGACACGTGATGTTCTCAGAATTCAGGAGAAAAGACGGCTTTCAGGGCCTAGATCCCGAAAAAGCCGTAATTCGGCACACTCTAACAGAATTAGGTCAGAATTACCTAATCGGGGACACATTTACCAATGACCCTATAAATAGGGAGATTCCCCCCATTTTGGTAACATCTACAATTCATTTATTACAACCTACCCTACATTCTCTCACATCAGAGAAAACACCTGATCTCGAAATCCGAGAAGATCTCACTTTTACTTTTCCGCACTTTTTACATTCTCCAACACTTTAACTTGATCGTCGGAGGCGGAGCTCTTACCAACCGAAGTCTCCGTTTTTGCAGGTACAAAGCGCGTCGGACCAATCTTCGAGTTGTAACTATACCGAGGGACAAAAACACCCAAAACAGTTTTCCAAATGTTGGTTGTGTACCAAATTGTAAATTTGTACCCATTATTATTTATCCTAATTATCTATGTACGGAAGTATACTATAGAGAGAGAAAGAGTGTTTTTGTTTGTCAAATTTCACTTGATCAAATCATCCCTTTTTATATATTTCCTCTCTTTCGTAATAATCACAATAGTAGAGTAACCTTAACATGTTCTCCCACAAGCAAGATTCTTGCAATACTTGGCGTGGGATTGTTGATAATTTGGACACGTTGAAAAAGGGAGCAAGTCTAGTAGTGGGAAATGGCAGGAGCACTTTGTTTTGGAAGAGTAACTGGGCGGTTAATCACCCCCTGATCGAAGCAGTAGTTCATCCCCCACCTGATACAATGTTGGAAGAGGCAGTGAGTGACATGTGGGATAGAGAACATGGATGGAAATGGGAGAGGTTTGCAGACCATCTCCTAAGTGATTTGCTCAAGATAATTGATTCATTTGAGCTTGTTGAAGATGATGAAGCGGTATGTACTAGAATGGTTCGACTTCTGGGGGTTTACAATTGCCTCGACTTTGAAGATCATAAGAGGTGAAGAGGAGTTAGGTGTGACTGAAAATTGGAACTTTGTGTGGAAAATTCCAGTTCCACAAAGGTTTCGATTTTTTGTGTGGTTGGTACTACATGACAGGCTGATGACAAACGCTAACAGGTTTATTCGTAAACTTACTAATAATCCTAGATGCCTAGTTTGTGGAGAGATGGAAGAGAATATTAAACACATTTTGAGGGTGTGTCATGTTGCTAAGACGGTATGGCGCAAGATCCCTGGAATGAATGACGATGAGATCCTAGGAAAACCGTTCAAAGAGTGGATTGTGTATAATACACAGGGTGCTGTTGCAAGAGATAAGGATTGGCTAATTGTGTTTACCACCACTTTATGGTGGATTTGGAAGTGGAGGAATAATAGGTGCTTTGATCAAACAGCTGCTATCCCAGTCGATCAAATTGGTTTTATTATGGCTCGGGTTGGTCTTATTCAAAAAGCTTTGGCTCGCAATGAAAGAATAGCTAGCAAAGGAAACATGGGAAGGGAGTGTATTTATGTGCGGTGGATGTATCCTCGAGAGGGATGGGTTAAACTAAATACGGATGGGGCTTCGAAAGGAAATCCGGGGGCTGCTGGGGGTGGAGGTATTATTCGAGGATCTAGGGGGGAGCTGCATCATATATTTGCTTTCAATTGTGGTGCTACATCATGTACTAAGGCTGAGCTTCTAGCAGTAATGCACTAATGCGTGGCTTAAGTATAGCATGGCATGCAGGGCATAGGAGGGTGCAAGTTGAGGTGGATTTTGAGGTAGTGGTGAAGCTGCTGGTGGAGGATATTAACTCCTCCTCTCCATTTTATCATATAATTAAGAAATGTAAGGAGTTGGTGAGTAAACAAGGTTGGGAGAGGATGATACAACACTGCTATAGGGAGGCGAACTGGGTTGTGGCACTAGTAGAAAAATGTATATTTGCGTCGCCATATTTGCGTCACTCATTCTAAGGAGCGAAGCAAATGTTTATTTTTACCTTCCTTTTAAATTATTTGCGTCGCATATTATTTAAGAAGCGACGCAAAACTCAAGTGCATTTCAGCTTTCTATCATTTGCGTCGCTCCTATTTATTAAAGCGACGCAATTATTAAACTTATTTGCGTCACTCATTAGTTAGCAAGCGACGCAAATAAGTGATTAAGTAAATTGCGTCACTCTTTTTCTAATGAGCGACGCATATGTACATTGTACAACATTATAAACAAGGTTATTTGCGTCGCTTTTTTATAATACAGTTTTAGGTTTTTCTGCGTTTTTTAACCTTAGTTTTTCATCTGGTACCTACATTCCCACTATACAAAAAGAAAAAAAAAAACAAGAGTTCTTAAATTCCAGCGAATTTCTACAGTAAAACACCCACAAATTTGTCTCTGAATTCGACAAATTCGGCCAAAAACTTGCGTTTCCCCAGCAAATTTAACAACTAAAATCGCAGTGAAGTCGAAGACCCATAATTGGCTGCAAATCCGAGCAATTTCGAGCAAAAATTTAGACCAAAAACCCTAAGAAATTCGAAGCCTTAAACCCAGAAAAATTGATTGTTTTTGACCAAAAATCCCCCATTTCGAGCACAAAATCAACTCAAAAGCATACAAATTCGAACCCTAAAAACCCCAAAAAATTCAATTTTGGTCTTCAAGTTCGATTGGGGGATTTCGTGGGGGGATTTCTAGGGTTTTTTGCAGCGACACAATATACCCTAAGAAATTCGTCCCATTTCAGTCATAAATAGTTTTTGTTCGAATTTAAGTCAAGAAAGTACAGCAACAATAGGTTAAGTCAAGAAATTACAGCAACAATAATTGTTTGAATTAGGTCTTTTCTAGGTTCAAGTCAAGAAATTACAGCAACAAAAATTCGAGCAATAACTGAAATTTTCGAGTGGAAAAATCTCTTAATTTCGCCCCAAAAAACCCGAGGAAGTTAAAGCAAATTACAGCAACAACAATTGAAGTTCGATTTCGGCTCGACATTGTTGAATTTTTGAAGTCAATTCCACCTATGGTAAGATTGCTTCTATTTATGTTCAATCTTTTCTTGGTTTAAGGCTTCGAATTCGGGGAAGATTAATAAGTGTGCTGAGTAAGCTTAATTTGCAAACTTTGGCTATTCTTACATGATTCATAATTATTGTGTCTCTGCTTGGTAATTTTGCAAACTTTGATTTAATTTATTACTGCCTTAATCTATTCTAGTCTAGTACAAATGTACATTACTTGATGATTTAAGTTATTACTGCCTTAATTGCAACTAAAAAGTCCATTATGATCTCGGGTTTAGTCATTGAACCATGCTGAACGAGCACTTCAGTCGAGTGATACATTGTTATGTCTATCTTAGTTGTAATTAGCCTAACAGATGATTAAGGTTTACGTGCTCGCATTTGTAAGCATCGAAAAGTCGATATCCATCATACATATTGTCATGCAACTTGATTATTGCTGGCATGCTGTTCAACATACCTTAAGAGCATGGTTCAACCCCTGGCCTAAGATCTGCCTTTTGGTCCAAACTTAAAATTTTCCGGCAGTTGGAAATTGAACCTTTTCTGAACTTGGACCACAACAAGCAATTCAAGAATTAACATGAAAATATAAATATAAATATAAATATAAATGGAAGTATAAAATGTCAGTGTAATCATTGAAGTGTAGCAAACTTAAAATTTACTATAATGAAGCTTTAGGTGTGGGCTCCTGTAATGGTCTTCACATATTCATCAGTTCTGTTAGACCTTTTTGTTTTGCTGGTATTAGAAATTTAGTTTAAACCTTTATTGAAAAGGAGGCAATGTCAGTATTTCTTACTCAACTAATGTTATGACTATTTGGCTAATAATAAAAAATAGTGTAAATGTACTTTTTTAACTAGTGGTTTTTAGGGATGATGGTTTTTAACTTGTTTTTAAACCTAGTATCAAGTTTTCTTATCTGTTAAGCTACATTTGAAGGCCTAAATCTGGAGGAAAAAACCCAGAATTATTATTATTATTATTATTATTTTCAATTTTTTTTTGTAAGTCTCAAGCATGAACAACTGTCATCTCCGAGTCATTAAAATGGAGAATCCGTATGTTCCCTTGTAAATGGTTGAATAAAAGGAAGTCAGTGTGAATCAAATGATCATTGATAAAACAATTAATACATATGAAATTATATAAGGGAATGGTGTTGTATGCATTGCTTTTTGTCTTAGTCTAGGGCTACCAGGGTAGATTCTAAAACATTGCTAATTGCAGATCATTTGATCCTTACGCTTAAGTTTGCAATGACAAAGTAAGTCTAGTTTGTTATTAATGTCATGATTTTATGTGTGTAAGGGTAATATATATGTTATTTGTTTCAAATGTGTAGTGCTTTTCGAAGTTTTAAGGCATTAAGTGGACAATCTAGGGGAAGTAAATTGACATGGCATTTGGGACAGGTTACCTTAATTTCTTACCCTAACTTTTAGTTTCTTAATAATTGAAGTATAGCAATTTAATTCAACTTACAAATATATTACATGTAGTGTCCTCAACAATTGGGTGGACGTGAGTGTGGCTACTACGTCATACGTTATATGTACGAAATACTTGAACATCACCATAGCAGTGAAGATCTTATTCAGGTATGAGTTGTCAAATATTTCATTTTTGTTTGATAAATACAATTTGATGTTAGCTACAATCTTGAATTAAAACTTTCCTCTTGTATATTTGTTGTGTTGATAGGATTTTTCAAGAACTACACCGTACACCAAGGAGGAGATAAATGAGATCCGAGATATTTGGGCAGAGTATTTTATATGTAATGTTGAACTTTAGATTTACCACTTAGCGCATGTTTGACTCTTGCTTTGGATTATAGGCTTGAAATGAAGTAATTTGGTTAATTGGTGTTGGGATGATGAGTATAATGTCTATGATATTGAGATGTAAATTATTGGAGAGGTTGTTAATATAATGCCGTCATTCCCAATTTTATGGGTAGGCCAAATTACAAAGGAGACTCTGCCGAAATTTACATTTGCATTATTCAATAATATTGCATTTTAATTTCAATTATATTAGCGTTAGCATATTAATTTATACCTAGGAAAACAGGTACTACAAACATATACAAGGCAATTATTATATTATAATTAAAAAAAAAAAATTCACCTCATTTGCGTCACTCATAAAACAAACAAGTGACGCAAATACATCAGTTTTGTATTGTCTACTCAGTCATTTGCGTCACTCCTATATAAACAAGTGACGCAAATAACAAAAAATAAGTTTATTGGAAGAGTCATTTGCGTCGCTTGTTTATAAAGGAGCGACACAAATAACAAAAAAAGTTTATCTGAAGAGTCATTTGCGTCGCTTGTTTATAAAGGGGCGACTCAAATGACTAAAAATAAGTTTATTGGAAGAGTCATTTGCGTCGCTTGTTTATAAAGGAGCGACGCAAATAACAAAAAAAGTTTACCTGAAGAGTCATTTGCGTCGCTTGTTTATAAAGGGGCGACGCAAATGACAAAAAATAAGTTTATCAGAAAAGTCATTTGCGTCGCTCTTTTATAAAGGAGTGACGCAAATAACAAAAAATAAGTTTATCTGAAGAGTTATTTGCGTCGCTCCTTTATAAAAGAGTGACGCAAATAACAAAAAATAAGTTTGTCAGAAGAGTCATTTGCGTCGCTTATTTATAAAGGAGCGACGCAAATGACAAAAAATAAGTTTATCAAAAAAGTCATTTGCGTCGCTCTTTTATAAAGGAGCGACGCAAATGACTCTTATTTGCGTCGCGCCTAGGAGCGACGCAAGTGACTTAAAATTCATTTGCGTCGCGAGCAGTTGCGTCGCTCATAGAAGCGACGCAAATACACTATAAATAAGCGACGCAAATAAGCCTTTTTCTACTAGTGAGAAAATGCGGTAACGGGAGGGGTGGAGCTAGAGTAAGGGCATCTGGCATGGTGGGTTGAGCTTGGCGGGGTGGGGAGGGGATGGTAATGGTAGGGGGAAAGTGTGGTGGGTTTTTATGGTTTTTTATTTTTTATTTTTTATTTTATATTTCTAAATTTTATATATTTTTTTTTTACTTTTTTACCAATCATGGTGCTAAAATGTGCATGTAACTTGTTATAACAAGTTGGATGACCATTTGGGATCATATTGATAAAATTCGCATTGTAGTTTGGATTATTTAAAGAAAAAACCAAATTTAGGATTATTATGTGTAGATAAGGCAACGTACGGATTATTCTAAACAATTTTTCTGACTTAATATGAAAGTTTAATATTAGATATATGAATTTGTGATAGCTAACTAGTGTGTTTCCTAGACAATGTTCTAATTATTGTTTAGCTACTCCCTCTGTCCCATATAAAAATTCTATCGTAGTCGTCGACTACGCACGACTATACTAAGGGATTAAATCTGAACCGTTGATTTATTAGTTGTCTAATCATAGCCACCCAATCCAACACCTAAGCTACACAATCATCCAAGGATTGTTTGGTTACTTTTTTTTTCTTTTTTTTGTTTTACACATATGATTATATTTTTTTCATTAAAATCGAAAAAAATTTAAATATTTCATCTTCAACCTAAATCATCTTTCACATTATTAATATTTTATGTCATCTTCATCCTAAAACCTTCAGCTTCAACCAAAACATTCATTCTCCAAAAAAACTAACAATTATGATTTATAAATTCATTAATGTGTTGTTTCGTTAAATAATTAAGAATTAAAAATAAATTAGTTACACATAATTAGTTTCATCTTTAATTTTCATCATCAATAATGTTAAACTCAACCCTTATCAATGGATTATTACAAGAAAAATCTCCATTGCCAACCTTAACTTTTATCATCAATTTCAAACTTCATTCATCAATAATGTGAAATTAGTAGTAAAAAAATGATAATCATTACATTAATATCTATGTTTTTTTAGTCAATACAAATTGTAATATGACATCAATTACATGTTTTATGTCTAAGCCATCATTGATGAACATCAAGGATTAGCAATTAAATATATTCCAAAAAAAAAACAAAAAAAAAAAATCGGAAAATATGCGTGATAAGAGTATCTTTTAGTCTTCAAGTCTCCACCATCTTTGCCTTAAGATAGGATCATGATATTTCACTTAATAATATCTTGTTTCTTTCTTTTACCGTTTTTCTACAACATAAATCCTCAAAAAGAATCTGAATACAAATTTAAACCTTTGTGATTCGTGATTTAAGGTGGAATATCCCAATATCTTTTCATCTTTGCCTATAATAAGTATATTACCCATTATTTTTTATTTAAAAGAAAAGAAAAATATTTAAAACACCAGATTTTTTTTTTGGAGGAAAAGCGAGAGATGATTACGATAAGGTTAATCTATTTATTTTAAAATTATAATAAGGTTAATCTATTTAAATTAAAGATTATAAAAAATTACTATTATTGGTTATGATGTATAGTCAAATTAAAATTAGGGGTGGAGGTTTATTAGTTGGTAATTTAATATATTATGCTGTTAATAATACTAAAAAAAGGTTGAAAGAAATGTCTAACTTAGATGTTTTTTTTTTAAAAAAAGCAAAAAAAAAAAAAGAAAAACCTTTGGGGTTCGTTTGATATCGCTATGGTTTTTTGGTTTTTGGTTTTTTTGTTTTTTTTAAAGTATATTATATATGTCACATAATGAAACAAAAATTATTTAGACTTATTAAAATCATGATAATTTTGAAAACTGGCAACAAAAAAAGTGAAAACACCTTTTTTTTGTTTTCTGTTTTTGGTTTTTAGTTTTACAAAAAAAAGGAAACTGAAAACCAAAAATGATACCAAACAATACCTAAGTTGTAAGTTAGATCATTATAATCAAAATTTCGCATTTAGATATCCTCAATTTCATTTTGTGCGTATGAAAAATTTGAATGTCATTAGTCAATTAGAACGATTGACAAATATAAGACTTTATTAATTAAAATATAGATCACGTTCGATGTATACAATGTTTTCCATTTGGGTATTCCTAAGTTATATGTGAGCGTACCTAAAACGAAGTGGTTCAATTTTTTATTTATTTTACAAAATATAGAAGTATATGGTTATTTTGGATAATCACATCCATTTTTAGAACTCTTGGATAGATTTATTGTCACTCTATGTAACTGAGGTCTCATCAGCATAATCACGGTTATTATTAAAGTAGAAAGCCTGAATTTAAATGCTGAAATTAACTTCTCGGTCAAAACATTACCTATTACATAACAATCCTTGTTTAGATTTAGATACCATTTATTGTGAATTAATGGAGGGATATACGAAAACATATTGAAAAATTGAGTGGATGAAGTGGCACAATAAGGAGCTGAGTGAGTGTACTGTCATGGCGTAGTAAGGGGGCCTACATTGCGTAGAGACGTTTTTAGGAATATATACCTTTTAATATATTAATAGTATGGATTCAGGCTTTAATTTCTAATTTGAAAAGAATTGTGATTAACTTATATTATGAGACCTTGTTTAGATAGAGTGACAATTAATCTAGTCAAGATTACTAAATATGAATGTGAATATACTTAATAATTATATTAATATTAATTTATGTATTTTGTAAAAAAAGGAGAAAAAAAAAAAAGAATTGAACCCCTCTGTTTTAGGTACGCCTAAATATAAATTAAGTATATCCAAATTTTTAAAAGTGACAACTTAAGGCCTGTTCTTATTTACTTAATTTCAGTTCAGTTAAGCTCTAATCAGTTCAGTTTAGTTCAGCTCTCATCAGTTCACTTCAGTTTAGTTCAATTCAGTTTAGTTTAGCTCTTAATTTTCCTCTCTCATAAAGTATTCATTTCAGCTCGATCAATTCAGTTCAGTCCAGTTTAGTTCAGTTAATGTGAACATGCCCTTAATCTAGATAGAGTGACAATTAATCTAGTCAAGATTACTAAATACGTATGTGAATATCCCAAATAACCGTATTAATATATATTTATGTATTTTGTACCAAAAAAAAATTGAACCACTTTGTTTTAGGTACGCCGATATATAACTTAGGTATACCCCAAAATGGGAGATAGTCAATCAGAATATGCCCTAATGGCCTGTAGAACCTGTTCACATTTACTTAATTTCAGTTCATTTCAATTTAGTTTAGTTCAGCTCTAATCAGTTCAGTTCAGTTCAGTTGGCTCCTAATTTCTTTTTCTCATAAAATTTTCATTTAAGCTCATTTCAGCTCCAATAAGTTCAGTTCAGTAAATATGAACAGGCCCTTAATCTTACATATATTCCACTTTTATTATATACGAAGTATATAACTAATAAAGTTTTTATTTAGTTTTAACTAATAATCAAAAAATAATAATTTAGCTTTAACTTATAAAGATATATTCCATTTTATTGTAAATTCTAATCTTACATAAATATTTATTTAGTTCCGTCAAAAAAAAATTTATTTAGTTAGACTAAGATATTTATTTATTTAGTTATATACAATTAATCTTAAATAAAGATTTAATTACTTAAAGTGTTAGACTAAGAACGGTATAAATGCAAATATATTCCACGAATTTTATTGTGGAGTATGTACAATCAAATATATCTTTATTTATGATTTAGTCATATACTCATATATCATATTAGTTGGCTGACTTGTAGCCTAATAATTCTCTAGTAACCTGTGCCTAATATATGATTTAGTCATATATATATATTTTTTGATAATTTTTTGACAAGAATATATTTGTGATATTTTAAGTATG